CATATACATAATACAATGGACCAAATAAGTGTACCGAAGTACCACATATACATTCCACATAATTACATATATGTCCCGAAGGACCACGTAGAACCCTCGACTCTTGGCATGCCAACTATACCTCTAGCTCTCATGACACGTAACATAGGCATCATTATTATGTTTACCATATATTCACACAGCCATATCACATAAACATAGGTTCTTATCATATCACTCATATCATATGGCTTATCTCTTTAAATATTGCAATCATATCACTTATACTCTCATAAATCATATCGACATGGCTTATCTTATATACATATGTTCACATACTTTAGCTTACTTCACCTTCCATATATCCATACAATTCATTATCACGTAATTGATATCTTAATCACATAACAATAACATACATTCACACAGATCATACCACATATACAATAATATATCACAATTATGCTCATATCAATAGCATGCTTATATGTATGCTAATATAGGAAATAGACTTGTTGCAAGTCTTATTTCCATTCATCATAATATATCAACTATACGCACTCACCTTAGTCTTGCTTGCTTTGACTCGATCCTAATCTTTTGATTGTTCCGGAATAAGATTACGTTCTATATCTACATAGTAATACATTGATACATATCAATATACTAATTAATATATTCTAATATATCACTCCTTAGACTAAAAGAAATGTTACTTTCATCTCTTAAATAATGTAGGTATCGATGCACTCTACAGTGTATCGATGCATCCTATAACGAGTGCATCGATGCACTACTTATGCATCGGTACACAAATTGCATTCAATGTTTTCATCTTAAGGGGGTGCATTGATGCACTCCCTATGCATCGATGCACTAATTGCATTTGATGTTCATTTATTTGAGAGTGCATCGATACACATTGAAGATGCATCGATGCACACAAACCAGAAATTCCATTTTAAGCACGAAATTCACTCTCTTTTCATCTCAACTCTTCATCTTTCACCTCCTTTAATATTCCTAACTTTCATACACACACTTAAACTCATTTCTACTCAATAATCACTTCTTTAAACTCAACATCCTATCCTTTATATGTCATTCAAGAATTACACTCAATTTCCAACATGTTCTAAATCTAATTCTAACGTTTCATATTCTTTAATCAAGTTGGTGACAAGTCAAATTCAACTTCCAATTTTATTTAAACCCTCTTATTCAAATTTTTACTTGATCACCCTTATATTAAATCTTCCATAACTTCTTTATCTTTAGTTTGTATCTCCTTTTAAGTTCTCTTAATCTTTCCTAATGCTCTATCAATTAAAACCATTCTTTTAATTACAAGAAAATCAATTGAAAATCAAACTCACTTTAGCCATGAAGAGCTCACGTTGAGAGGAAGAAGAAACTAAAGAAGACTCTGGAGAAATTATCTCATTCCCACGTGCTTATTATCCTTTATTAAGAGAAATAAAAATCTTCCCTATCAAATGACCATAATACCCTTATTACTTTCAAACTTTGTTATTAAATCCATCATCAAAACTTTTCTTTTAAGTCCCTAAACTTTCCATCTTTTCTAAAATTGGTCACTAAATTTACCAAAATTCTATTCTGGTCATTGATCCGACTTTTGGGATGTTACATGCTACACAAGGCGGATGTTTCCTTTATCTCGCTTTGATTTGTTTTCTGATTTGTGTGTCTGTCGTTATCGCTGCTTGTTATATTCAATAATGCAATAGGGTGTATGGTCCCGAGTGAATACTTTGAATTGTGTATTTTCTGGATTCCAGGTGGATGTTGTGGTGTACCTGGTAGATGCCTATGATAAAGAGATGTTTGCAGAATCAAAGAAGGAACTCGACGCACTTCTTTCGGATGACTCCCTCGCCAATGTCTTGTTTCTCATTCTAGGAAACAAGATTGATATACCTAGGGATGGTAAACGGGCGGGTTGGGTGCGAATAACCCCATCCCCATCCCCATCCCAACCTAATATTTTCAAATCCACCACCCGCCCACCACCCATGATGGGTAAAATTTTTCAAATCCACACCTGACCATGCAGTTACATTCTCAAATCCATCCCCATCCCCACACCCACTACCCAATTGGAGACGTACCCGGCTAGACCCACCTGACAACAACCTTAAGTTATACATAAGTAACAAACATAAAACAAACACGCCCATTAAGAAACATAATAAAATAAACCAATGCTTATCTGAGTTAAGTATTAACATAGATCTTAAAGTACATAAAACACCATAATAAAAGACATAATTAAAGCCTAGAAACATAAATGACAAACACATAATATTTTTTCTTTGGCACACATAAATGATAAACCCTAAAATTATACCTAAATTCATAATGTTCCAAAATTTAACGGGTATTTAGTGGGTGGGTGGATGCGGGGCGGGCGGATGCGGGGCGGGTAAGGTCTCAAACCCATCACCCGTCTACTACCCGCGACGGGTACCACTTTCTAAATCCACACCTGCCTACTACCCACTAAAGTTATACCCATCCCCGACCCAATTGGAGCGGGTACGGTACAGAATCCACGAAATTATACCCGTTTATCATCCCTAGATATATTGTATCCTGCCTCGGAGGATGAGTTACGTTACCATCTCGGGCTCACAAACTTTACCACCGGAAAAGGCAAAGTAAACCTAGAGGACTCGAATGTCTGTCCATGAGAGGTATTCATGTGCATCATCGTTCGCAAAATGGGGTATGACGATGGCTTCAAATGGATGTCTCAGTATATTAAGTACGGTAACAGATTGGAGAAACACGTTAGGATGAGCCTACAAACTCCCAAACTCCGATTCCACACTGTCGTGCCCGACTTAAGGGAAGGGAAAGAAATGTATTCGTCGAACTGTTCGAACCAGACCCTTGGTGTTTTAGGTTTGATGTATTTTGTTGTCATAACCAATAGGCAATAGATTGCTTTAGGAGTGTAAATGAAACTAGACGAGCTCGAGCCGAGCTCAACAATAAATCAAAATAACATGCATTAACATACATATATAATCCCCGAGTTCCACCTAAACCCGACCTGACCCAATCTATAAACGAATAAATTTGCTTTCATTTAATGTCGAAATAATATCCACATATAACGTGACATGTGATAAATACTATACGAATAAATTTTATTCAATGTCCAAATAATATTTACACATAATAATGTAACACGTGATAAATACTATATGCATGAATAAACAGACACGTGGTGGATTTTGTTTTCACTTAATATAAAAATAATTGTCTAAACATGAATAATAATGTAAAACATAGTAGAGTAACACATGGTGTCTAAAGAATTTTTGTTAAAAAATTAGGTGTCTAACGTTTTTTCGTTACATTTTTAGGTGTCCATCGTTAAGAGACATGTGTCACGTTCAATATTTAAAAAAATATTTTTAAATAATTTTTATTTTAAAAAAATAAAAATATAAACGTGACATGTGTCACTTAAAGGTTTTTTAATTGTATGCACCTAAAAGTGTAACCGAAAAAACGTTAGGCATCTATTTTTAACAAAAAATTCTTTAAACACCAAAAATCAATTTTTGATATAGTTTACGCAACTTATTTTTGTACTAAGCATTTTCAATATTACTAGTTTATCGAGACAAAATGAAAGTATCAAATTAGATAAAATAATAGGGTAAACTACCTATTTAGTACTCTAACTATTTATGAATTTTGTTCTATTTTGGTCACCAACTATTTTTTTCTTCAAAATCATACCTAATGTTATGTTTATTTTCATTTTGGTCATCTATTGTTAAAAAAAATAACGGTGATGCTAACTTGTCACCATAAGATAATGCCACGTTATCATTGAAAAATTTAAAAAGAATGTCACATCTGTAACTCGGTTAATTTTTCAATGGCGGGTGACTAAAATAAAATAAAAAAGTAACATTAGATATAATTTCGAAAAAAAATTGAGTAATAAAAATGAAACAAAAGTGATAGTTGAGGTACTAAACACATAGTTTAGCCAAAAAAAAAGTTAGATTTGACAATAAAAGAAGGATTAATGCCATAAATGCCCAAACTATACATTTTGTGCCAAATAAATGCCTACATGTTTTGTACATCCAGATGCCTAACATTACAAATGTTAACACTTTAGGTTCTCGAGCCATCAATGGCGTTAGTTTTCTCGTTAAGTGACACGTGTTATAATCTGATAGTTTTAAATTTTTTATATAAAATTAAATTATATATATTTTTAAAAAGAAAACATATAAATTTTGAAATAATCCGTAAACTTTGAAAACCTTTATTTCAACCCCTAAACCTACGTCGACCGATGCCCTTTGCCGTCGAAGAAGCTCCACCTGACCTCCTTTCCCCATGGCAACCAAAACCCCTATGAAATTGTAACCGATTGACGATCAATCGATGACAAATCGACGTTTTAAATCCCGCAAACCTTAGAATGAAAATTACGATCCCACGCGATTCCGATAGTGAATTGGCAACAACTACGGTGACATATAACTAGGATGATTGCAAGGACTACATCAGCGGCAGTGGTTGTGGCCGGAGAAGGCGCACGATAGTGGATTAAGGTTAGGATTTGGGATTTTGGGGTTGTTTTATAGTATAAGAAAAGTTAGGGGTTTTTCTATAAATATAATAATATTTTTAATATTTAAAAAAATAAATTTCAAAATTACCTGTTATGACAGGTGTCACTTAAGGGGGAAAACTAACGCCGTTGACGGCCCGGGTTCCTAAAGTGCTAACATTTGTAACGTTAGACACCCGGACGGACAAAAAATGTAGACACTTATTTGACACAAAAAGTATAGTTTGAGCACTTATTTGGGTATTAAGCCATAAAAGCATGTGAAGTTAAGTGGTTAAATCATAAATAAAACCTTTATTTAAATGAGTATAAGAAATCCCTTAAAAAATCCACGGGTTATAAATAGTAGTAATCCTCGTTTGGCAAGCCATGGACTAGGAATAAATATCGAAGAGGAAGCATCATAGAGAGGAGGAAAAATGGAGAAATCTCAGTTATCGTTAGCCTTTGGAGCCTTGTTGTTCCTGTTATCGGCATCAACAACGGCGGCCGGCGTCGTCGTACTAACCGGAGAAAACTTCAACGAGCAAGTTGGTCAAGACAGAGGAGCTCTCGTCGAGTTCTATGCTCCTTGGTATTGATCTCGTTGTTTTTTCCGCTAGATCCCTCATTAATAGATCCTTAGATCTTATTTCCCAGTAATTGAAATGAAAATGTGTTTTATTTTCTGAATTTGAATCTTCCGTAAGTCATTTTTAGAAAGACGTTAAATGTATGTGATCTCACTTCAGGCTATATGGATTTTGAAAGATGTAATCGGTTTTTATTTTCCTCCGAATCACAGGTGTGGACACTGTCAGAAGCTAGCTCCCGAGTATGAGAAGCTTGCAGAGAGTTTCTCGAAGGCTAAATCCGTCTTGATCGGAAAGGTTAACGATATATAATTATACGACTTTGGTTGTTATTACTTATTAGTGTATGGATTCTGAGAATTTTACTATGATGAGGTTTTTCTTGTTTGCATATGAATTATTATTGATCAGTGTACTTCGTTTTGAATATGAAATGTGAAAATTACACTGTTTTGAAAGATGTCTTGATATTTCTATTGGTCTTATTGATGTATAATTATACGAATTTAGCTGTTATTAGTATACGGTTCTATATGAATTCTGAGAATTCTACTATGATGAAGTTTTTGTTGCTATTTTTATTGACTGCAAAGGTTAGCAATTGTCAATTAATAATTAAACAGATTTTCTTGTTTGCGTATGAACTTCTATTGATCGGTGTATTTCCTTTCGAATATGAACTGTGAAAATTACACTGTTTTGAAAGATTGCCTTGGTATTTCTTTTGGTCTTCATTGAATTTTTTCCCCTTTTTGTTTGATGTGGTATAGGTGGACTGTGATGAGCATAAGAGTCTTTGCAGCAAATATGGTGTTCAAGGCTACCCAACTATTCAATGGTTTCCCAAAGGCTCTTTGAAACCTAAAAAGTGAGTCGAGTTTAACTCGTGGAAACAGAAACTGTGAAGTTTAGATCTTGTTTTGTGTTCTGTAATTGTTGTCAACATTTTGTTTAAAACATTGCTCTTACTACATCTAAAATTATTTTCTCTAGGTATGAAGGACAACGCACTGCTGAGGCCCTTACTGAGTTTGTGAATACTGAAGGAGGTATAACAAAATTGTTATGTGGTTGCTTACTCTATGGAATTCTGTCTTGATTTCTTCTTGTGTGTGTTTCTGAGGTGACTAGCTGTATGTACATTAATGCACAAAGGCAAAAACCCAGTAGGATTCTGCTAAGCTCGTGTATCGTTTTACAGGGACCAATGTGAAAATAACCGCCGCTCCATCCAGTGTTGTAGTGCTAAATGCTGATAATTTTGATGAGGTTGTCCTTGATGAGGCCAAAGACGTGTTGGTTGAGTTTTATGCTCCTTGGTAAACATTTGGTTTATTTTCTGTTGGTAATAGCTGCATCTTACATGTTTAGGGACCTCATGCATGCAACAATTTTTTCTGTTGATGTTCTTTTGCTTCAATTCTGTCCACTTAAATGTGTTTTGGCAATTTCTGATAGGTGTGGCCATTGCAAAAAACTTGCTCCTGTAAGCCTCTATATCTTTGCTTAATAAAGTAGGCGCGATTATTCCGGTACAAGTAGCGATCTCTGTTCTAACCCTCTGCTTTCTTTTGTCTACGTAGACCTATGAAAAGGTAGCAACGGCATTTAAAATGGAAGAAGATGTAATAATAGCTAATCTTGATGCTGATAAATATGGAGATTTATCCGAAAAGTAAGTGTAACTTTAGCCGATAAGTTCGGGTATTCTGTTGATGCATGTTAAGGCCTATGCCTTACGAGTGCAGGTATGGTGTAAGCGGATTTCCAACACTGAAATTCTTTCCAAAGAGCAACAAAACCGGTGAAGATTACACTGGTGACAGAGATTTGGATGCTTTCGTTACCTTCATAAACGAAAAATGTGGCACCAATCGTGATGCAAAAGGGCAGCCAACTTCAAAGGTTCGTAGCTCGTAGTATTCGTCGTTACATCATGTTTGTCATCACCAATTCTTCTGTATGATCTTTGCACAGGCCGGTATTTTTTCAAGTTTGGATCCATTGGTCAAGGAGTTCGTGGCTGCTGGCGGCGATGAGAAGAAAGCAGTCTTTTTGAAGATTAAAGGGGAAGTCGAGAAGCTTAAGGGCTCCGCGTCGATGTATTCAATCGGTTCCTCAATATTCAGCTCCATAGGAAAACTTGTTGCCAATTCTTACTAATCTATCTTGCTGATTGTCAGGTATGGAAAGATATACCTGAACGCTGCTAAAAACTGTATGGAAAAAGGTGCTGATTATCCAAAGAAGGAAAATGAACGGCTGCAACGCATGCTTAACAAGGTACGCTTGAAATCCGAATAAATTTTAGTTTTGGTGATTTGGCTGTCACAACTTGGCATCATACACTTCCATGGCTACGGTGTTTTACGTAACGTTGTTCTGAATCTTCATTTTTCTCGAAGTATCCGTGTCGGAAACCCGTGGTCTGTTCACATATTCGATCTAACCTTGTGTTTTCGTCCTTTGGTGGCAGTCGATAAGCGCAGCAAAAGCTGATGAATTCACTCTCAAGAGGAACATCCTATCGACATTTGCATGAACGGATTCGATGAGTTCTCGACCGCGTTTTTGAGGATCGGTTTTCCGACGATCGCCGTGATTTTTCCGGGCAGCAAATGGTATAGGCCTTTGATTACATGCGTGCAGTTCTTGTAAAGAACTTTCATGTGAGAACTATGACTAGTTAGGACAGTGATTTGATTCGGCATTTTTTTCGGAGTTTTCCCTTTTTGAGTTTTTTTTCTTAGTTCGGACATACGTAAGATTTTATATTTTGCGTAATTTTGTGTTTTTAGCTCGAGTCTTAAACAATGAAGCCAATAGTAAACATTAAGTAAAGGCAAAAGGATAGCTTTTGCATATGTCGTAGACCAATTTATTACTTTTGCTCATATCATATTTTCACGTCAATTTAGCTTTCGAAGTTGTTCAATTGTATCATTTTATACCCTACCCCTAACTTTAAACCCTAAACCATAAGCTAATTACCTCTAAACCATATACCTTAAACTCTAAACACTAACTTATGATTTATAATTTAGGATTTTAAGTAGGGAAAAAGTATAGAATAATGCAATTAAACAAATTTAAAAGCTAAATTAATATAAAATTACGATGGAGACAAAAAATGATAAATTAGCATACCAAATTCAACAAATTGTTATATATTGTCAAATTTTATAGGACTAATTTCATTTTTGACCCTCTAACTTTCTTAAAATGTCATTTCAATCCTGAATACTTTTTCATCTCATTTTGCCTTTAAATTTCTATTCTTTTTTCAAATTGAACCAATGACAGAAAGTATAATAATTTTTTTAGTAATTTTCAAACGTTTTTTTTTTACAAAATTTCATATTTTTTTCTTCTGATTTTTATAATTTTATAATGATATTTTTTAAAAAAAATGTTCCTCAATTATAAAAAAATCCTCCAAAAATTTTTAATATTTACTTTGATGGTTAATATTTAAAAAAAAAAACTATGTATGTAGAAATATATACTAAATAAAATAAACTTTGTAAATTATAATAAAAATTTAAGGAACAAATATCAAAATTGCACATAAACTTTGGTCTAATATATAATGTGATACATAAACTTTGATGTGATGTAATTATATAAAAAATATATTTTTGGTCCAATTGACCACAATTTAAAACATATATATATATATATATATATATATATATATATATATATATATATATATATATAAATATAATTGTTTTCCCGTACAATACATAAACTTTAAATGTTATATTGGTAATGGTATTAGTAATTTATGAAAAATGAATCAAATCAAAGTTTTATGTATAGAATTGTATAAAGTCAAAGTTGATATGTGACATTGAACCTAAAGTTTGTTCGAATAATCAATGAGTCCCACAAAAGGAGCACATTTCGTTAAGTGGCTGTGGGCAAAGCTCTCATGGACCATCTAAACAAGGCGATGAATAAAAGAATATAGAAAATTATATTTTTTAAAAAAATAAAGGAAATATAAAATAACTTTTAGCATGTAAAGATAACTTTCAACCCTTTGACATTGAACATATATATCCCTGATATTCCTGGTGCTCGAACTTGAAAACTCAAGGAATAATAATAATAATTACTTTAATACTGAGGTCACTCGGTTTATGCAATATGTTTTCATTTTCAAAGAAAAGATTAGACCCATTCTCTCTTTTTTCTTTTAATTTTTTATTAATAATATGTTGGTCTAATGAGAAAAGACACTAGAATTTTTAAGTAAGGTCAAAAGTTTGAATTTCAGTGTTTACGAATAGAACAAACTGGGTTGAGAATACCGCTCTATAATGAGATTCTACAAAACTCTATTTGAAATAGTTGATTAATAGATCGATAATTAAAAAGAATTGATTTTTGAAAAAAACAGGGTGAATTCTATATCTAAGGTGGAGACTAAAACTTTATAAGATGAATCACTTTGTATGGTTTTTATATTGCTTATGTTTCTTGTCGTATTTTAACTTTATTCTTCACACTCCTTACATCATCTTCCTTGTGTTAATATTAGTGGAAATTTAAAAACTTTTTAAGGTTTTTTTTTTGGGATAATTTAGCGTAATTTTTGAAAGTGACTTTTAAAAGTACTGTAAAAATGAATTTTTAAAAGTGTTATACAAAGTACAATTTAAAATTTAAGTTTTTGGGTTGTTATTAAAAATAAGTTTAAAAGAAAAAAATGTTCGTTATAGATATTATGTTGTAAATTGAAAATATAACATTTAAATTATATTTTCATCTATTAACATTATGATGTATAAAATATATCAACTTAAATTATAATAAAAATATAAATATTTTAAGATAACACATTAATAAAATTTTTATATATGAAATATTTTATTAATAACAAATTTATTATCAATACTTTTTAACGGGTGGACATAAAATTATTATTCATAATAATTTTAAATAATTGTTTTGACAAAAAGAATATTTAAAAAATAGTAATTAAAATAAATTATTAAGTAATAATTTTTTAAGGATGTTAGTATTAAATTATTAAAATAAAATATAATACATAATTGATTGGAGCCCATGCATTACTAAGGGTAAAATTATAATTTGCTTCCAAACGTAAATCTTTTTTAAAAAAATACATAATTTTTTTTTTTAAAAAAATTATAATTTGACTTTGGTTCCTTGGATAATAAAATCAATTTATCCAATTTTTTTTAAAGTTAAAAATCCTAACTTTTGCTGTTGATTTGAAACAACCGTTTCAATCATAATTTTTTTTCATTTTTACTATTTTGGCATTGATTTTATCGTCGAAACGGGTTTTTTTACCTACTAGTGCTTTTAGAAAGCCACACCAAAACGGCATTAATAGTTTTTATATTTTATTTTTAAATATTTTGTATTTATGTTGAATTCTTTAAAAATATTTATAATAAAATTACAATACAAGTCACTCCATTACTAATAAGATTATAAATAAGTCATCAAATTCTAAAAAATCATAAACAATCACTCAATTAATTGATTATCATAAATATGTTATTGGACCGTTAAAAAATGGAATGAACATTAGAAGGAGATGTTAGAAAACATTTTCTATTAATTTTTTTATTGGATAAGTTACACCATATGTCATCCAATTATTAGTAAGATTACAAATATGTTATTCAATCTTAAAAAGTCGCTCAATTAATAAAAAAGAAAAATTATTTTAGGTTTTGAGATTCTCGAAAATCGGGGCTCCATTCGACGATCACAGATGAAAAGACTACTATTGATAAGAGGGAAAAAAATCCCAAGACGAAGTTCATTAGACGATGGACAACATAGATATAGGTTCAAGAAGTTCATAAATTTTGAGGTGATTTCATGACTTTTGAGAGAGTTTTTGTGAGTATTTAACTCGATAATCGGAGGACATTGAGATGAACCTTATAATAAATTTATGGGTTCATCGACCATCGTATATGATGGCCAACGACAGTTGACGCGATGTTATGTAAACTAGTTACACCGATCAAATTAATTACATGACTTAATTGCTGATATCAATTAGTTGAGTTACTTGATTGTAACTTTTTAAAATTTAATATTTTTAATGAATAAAATATTCCAATCAGAAAGCCTTTTAACATTTAACGTTCAATGATGTATTAATGATAATCAATTAATTGAGTGACTCGTTTATAATTTTTTAAAGTTGGATGAACCATTAATAATCTTACTAATAAATTGAATGACTTATGATGTAATTAACCCAATATTTAGGCTTGATGGGTAATTTTGCTCTGACTTTTTAACTGCATCAATTTTATCCTTCAACTCATTTAATTACATTACCATTTGACCGTGGTTAATCGTTACAGTGGTAATATGATAAATTAGTTATCGTTAATGGTTTAATGATCTATCGACCGAAATGAACGTTTTTCTTAACGATAGTGACTCTAATGAAAGTTTTTCAATCTTGATGACTAAAATGTCAATCTCTTAAAAATTCAATGACTATTAGTGAACTTTAACCTAAAAATTATCATTTAAGATTAGAACTCACAATCCCTTTAAGAAATGAACTAAGAGAAGAGAAAGTTTACACGTGTGTGCAAATTCTGGTGTTTGTTTTCCAGGAAAAAAATGAAAAAAGATTGGATTTTTACAAACTTGAAACTTTGTACCCTTAAAAAGGTTTCGGTTATTAATGCTTTCAAAAGACCGACTTGTTTGTTTAAAAGAACTGATAAACGTGGAAAGCGACTTCCAGTAAACCTCATTTTCGCTTTTTTCTTCAAATAATCAAACACCTTGCCTGCAACAAAATCACCATCACTTTAATCCACCGTTTTCTTTCTTTTTCTTTTTTGTTCTTCAAAGATATCGTAAATGAAGTACGTTTTGATTACTGGAGGAGTCGTTAGTGGACTTGGCAAAGGCGTCACAGCCAGCAGCATAGGCGTCGTCCTTCAAGCTTGTGGCCTTCGTGTCACCTCCATTAAAATTGGTTTCTTTTTTCTTCTTCTTCTTCTCTTTTTCTTTAATTTTTTCTCTTTTATTTTGGGTTTGGGTTCAGGCTTCTGGGTTTCGTTCTTTTCGACCAACAGTGATGCATTTTGGGTGCATTTGTTTGGCGGAAGCGCTGTTTAATCTGCTGACCCTTTTAAGTGTTTATTGTTGTTATTGCTTGC